GAAGAAGATGAAGAAGAAAAAGATCTTCTCTCTCCTCCTTTTTGATAATATATACATACATATATACATATATACATATATATATATATATATGTATATATGTATATATGTATGTATATATTATCAAAAAGGAGGAGAGAGAAGATCTTTTTCTTCTTCATCTTCTTCTCCTAATTTTTCTTCTTCTTCTTCCATTTCTTCTTCTTCTCCTCCTCCTCCTAATTTTTTTTCTCTTTCTTCTTCTTCTTCTTTCTTTTTCTCGGCCAATTCCGACGCTGAGATCCTGGTATTCGCCGGACCTCTTTTTCGCCGATCGCTGGCGTTGTATTTATGCCGGAGCAAAATCAGTTAGGGGAGCTTCATATTTTGGGCTCTCCTCCGCGCTTCTTTCGCTCCCGATGCGCACCGCCGACGGGCTAACTCCTCTATCTCGTCGTCCTACTTTCCCGGAGACCGGATACTTCTTCGGAGCACCTCGACGTCACCGGACAGCGAACGACGTCGCTGTTCGAGGAGGTGCAAGCGTATTTTCTTTTGCAAGGAAAACTTTCCCTTTTTCACCGCCACCGAGCGACCCTTCTCAAAGGTATATTTTGATTATATTTTTTATATGCCAAAATTATTATTTTTAAATACTATGCATACCTCACAACCTCCTATAGTTCTCGTTGCATGGTTCATTGCGAGGCATACTGGCACACAGACCGGAAGCGCGGACTTTCCCTCAACATAAAGATAACGCATCCCTACCCTTCGCGGTGGTGAGATCCCCTAAACTCCTAGCTAGCCTTAGGTTTAGTGGTGTTTAGGCGTGAGAGGTTGCGTGCGTCGACATGGGTCGACGCGTTAACGTAACTATGTAATTGAACGTCGATTTCCTAGAGCGAGCTGTTAGGTTAGGACTTCCTGTGCGTAACCAAACACGCCCCGTAGAGCCGAATGTCTTTCTTTTGTTGTGAGCCTTAGCACAAGTCCCGATGGGTCGGAGTCCCTCACTCCCCTTGCTTTGGGTTTCCCCAGCTCTACTTGGAGAAGCTAGAGGGTCGGACTTGGCAATATGAGAAAAGCTTCTTAGCTGGATCGCTTTGCAAAGTTTGGAGGAGTTCGCGAAATGGGAAAAATTTTGTAGCTAGCACATTTCGCGACGCCGTAGAGAGTTTTCCCTTCGGAGATCCGGGGAGAAACCAACTGTTTCCCCAGCTCTACTTGGAGAAGCTAGAGGGTCGGACTTGGCAATATGAGAAAAGCTTCTTAGCTGGATCGCTTTGCAAAGTTTGGAGGAGTTCGCGAAATGGGAAAAATTTTGTAGCTAGCACATTTCGCGACGCCGTAGAGAGTTTTCCCTTCGGAGATCCGGGGAGAAACCAACTCACATTCCCACACCAAAGCCGGAGGCGGCGATGCCGCATATCCAAAGGTCTAAACCTTAGGTTTCCTAGGTGATGTCGTTAGTACGAACGTGACTCGCTATCATATGTGGTCATATGAACCTCGTTGTTTGCATGTGCATATCTTGCATGTTAGATAATATATGTCATATATCGCACTTGCACATGCACTCTGCACCTTGCATTTGCATTTGTACTTGCGCATTGCATTTACACGTTGCACTTACACCACTTGTGCCTCGATCGGTCGCCCCGGACCGGTCGACACCACTTGTGGCTCA